GTTCAAACCCAGCCCCGGCCAAAAAAAAAAAAAAAAAAATACCTGAGGAACTTGGTGACAGCCTCAGAAACTGTGACGATGTACTTACTACACAGCAAACACACTTAGCTGTGTTTAATAAAACTGAAATGCTGTATTAATCTGTAGCCACAATAAAACTGAATTTGAGTGGGATCTAATTTTTTTTTAATGACCTGGCATGGGTTTCATGTACTTTTTTGGCCTTTCCATCTTCTACAAGGTGAATCCTACTAACTAAATGCGATAAATTTGGAGAAAGTGCCAACTTGAATAAAAAGATACTTTCCCATTATAATTACTAGTGGCCAGTGGTCAATTCTGGAAGGATAAACATATAAATGTTGCAAATTACTACTGCATTTTAAAAACAAGTTAAAATCTTCCACTGAGATCTTTTGGGTGGGGAATGGGTGGACAGAAAAAGCACAATATGAACTGCTTCTCTTGACAAAACCTGTGTATCGAGGCAGTTAACTAGGAAATTGGATCATCTTTTTATTGTACACCTAGGATTAAAATCCTCTTTCAATTACTATTGTGGCTATACAAGCCTTCCAGAACTTCAACTGCTAATTTACATTAAGCTTCTGATTATATTTACAATACTTTGTCCTATTAGAGGTGAGCCTCTTAGATGTGGAATAGGCTAGACTTGTCAAGTTTTACTTATTGTAGCCCTTTTTTTTTTATTTGGGACAGAGTCTCAAGCTGTTGCCCTGGGTAGAGTGTCACGACATCATAGCTCGTAGCAACCTTCAACTTTTGGGCTCAAGCGATCCTCTTGCCTCAGTTTTTCTGTTTTTAGTAGAGACGAGGTCTCAGTTTTGCTCGGTCTCTAACTCGTGAGCTCAAGCAATCCACCTGCCTCTGCCTCCCAGAGTGCTAGGCATGGGCCACCATGCCCAGCCAATTGTAGCCCTTTCTTAACTATCCTTCCTTGTTCGCAAGGATGTTTTATGGAAGTAATAAAGGCAGAGAAAATAAAGCCATCAACCAATCAAATTAGTTGTTTGATCGAAAACTGTATTTAAATTCAGGTACCTTTGTGTACCCTAAAGTATCTTTAAAGAATTGAGACACCATATTTCTTTCCTATAGCTTGTCCTTCAAACAACGTACTACTTTGCGTTTGTCACCATTAGATCCATTCTCCCAGGCTGTTTGGCTTGCTGTGCACCACCTGTGATGACACCAAAGGAGAAAGGCAAGGTGCCAATTTTTCACTCATGCAAAGATCGATGAAAAGGCAGCAAAGCTTGATTTTCTAATTCTAGGGGTTCTGCTACGTTTGCTGTTACCAAATCTCAAATTCTAGGTACCTAGTGACTAGAATGGATAATTACAGGCTCTAGGAACTTGGAAGGAGGAAAAGCAACATGGGTTGAAGCTGTTGGGAAGGGTTTTGTGGAGGAGACTGGAGCGGACCTGGGCCCTGAAGACGGGGGAGGACTTTTCTTAATGGAAAGCAGGAGGGCTGTCTCATGGCGGGGGGG